GTGTTTAGTTTTCTCTATGATGTCTAGACTTGGCTGCATAAAAATCCAAATTTTTTTTTAAGTTCTCGGAATATATTGTGTTCTTTCTCCACAGGTACTGGCCATATTTAGATGGGAAGATAAGAGAAGCATTAGTTTTACGAAGTATTAAAGTACGACTTCTCATAAGTTTCTCAAGAGACACAGATCCCCTTACTTTCAACTTTGTTTCATCTCTGAAAGCTATTTGCACTGAAGTTCCAAGCTGTAGCTTGAAAGTGGTAAGTATAATCTATATTGCTTTGAAATCTAAAATATTTCCCACCCACCCCACCCCCAAAAAGGCAAGAAAACTTCAAAACCAAGAAAAGTTTTGTTAAAATCAAAGCCTTTAAATGTCATTAACTAACATAGGAAATGTAATATAATGAACTGAATTTATTCCTAGTAGCAACAGACATGGAAATTAAGACAGAAAAATAGAATTATGCCAAAAGGCAGTCTATGTGGTGCACAGCCCGTGTAAAACACTACATCTGGTCTTTTACAGCAAAGCTAATGGAGTGAACTGTAGTCACGTGTCTTGTTTATACTGGCTGGTAAGAGTAAATGTGACAGCACAAAAATGTGGTTTAATCTGGATTCGTGTAACCTTACTGTTCAGCTGCATTCCTTTAGTCAGGTACAAAGTTCAAGAAAAAATAATTAAGATTTTGCATTAAATTCAGGCTACAAATTCAGAATTGTGAAGACTAGAACAACCATTACGTGACCACATTAGACAGGCAATACAGGAACCATATATGTTACATTTGTATTAGAGAACAGAGTGGATGGTAAGTACTACTTTCAGTTTGATACAGTTCCTTTTCATGACATTGAGGCATATTAGAAATCAGCCTTCTTGGATCAATTCATCTTGGACCAAGTTCTTTTTGTTTTGTTTTGTTTTCAGGTAACTATCTTAATCTGCTGAATTATTTTGACTTCTTAAATTGTTAATCCACTGAATCATTTTGGCTTTTTAAGACTGACAGTTGTAAAAAAACAAGTACTATTTGTGTTACACATACTAAATGGTATTTATGCGTATCTTGAAATAGGGATTTTTGTTATAACGTACACCGTTATTACAAGTTTCCTAGGTAAGAAGCAGCATAATTTGTGTTTTTAAGTTAAAAAGCCAATACATGGCTGGTACTGTTTAAGCCACTCCGGGTAACTTCTAGCTTGTTCCATATTTATCATCAAAATTCTATTTATATATTCAAAATCATTTTTTATTTAAGTGGCACCTAATGCTTTACATACTCATATCCATTTCCATCTATTTAGAGCAGGTAAAATCATTAGTGCAGAATTTATCTTGACAGGAAGTAAATGCTAAAAGGAAAAAAAAAATTACTTCTAGACACTTACTCTAGGTAGAGATCTATTCTGGCTAGAATATCTGTAGTTAGAAATTACAAATACAACTTCCAGAAAAAAAACGAGACTACCCCAGATTTAAATAGCTGTAAAGGTACAACACACCTCAGTTACCTCTGTGCCACATATGCATCGCATGTGCCACACAACTGGGTAAGGCACTGCCTTAAGCCTTGGTATGAGCAGTAGCCCAAGGCTCAAGAGTTTACTGGTATCTATTGGTTTTGGCTGAAACTGCCGCAGGCTCCATCAGACATTCCTCTACTTCACAAAACATGTCAGATGAGCACTATTTTTTTTTTTTCAAACTGCATTCCTTTTGTATTCATCTGCTCTAGCCAGGATCAAAGTGAAACAAAACTACGTGTGTGTATGGGGGAGAAGGAATAGGCTAACAAGGTAAAAACTTAAACCTTTTGGATTACTGGAAAATTCTGCTTTTCCCTTTTGGTTCTGCTTTGGTTGTGAGAAAATAAAGTGAAACTAAACTCTGTACAGAAAATGTATTGTATGTGTTTATACAGAAGAACGCTGAAGTTTTAAGATAACCTTAACTTAGAAATTCTGATTGAAATTATAGTTAAAATTGCTAAGCTGTCCCAATACGTCAATATTGTTGTGACAGAAATGGCACATGCCCTGCTGCTTCTGTTCTCTTGGGGATAATACAAAGTCCTACAAAGCATATATTCAGTAACTTTTTTCTTTCATGTAGCTTTTGATCCCTGTGATATGCCTTGTTGTGATTGGTTCTTTTTTTTTTTTTTTTTTTTTGCCTATGGAAACACTAGCTTGGCTATGAAGTTTCCAGCGAGTGCCAATGGCTTGCTGAGGCTGCAGGGTACACTGTTTTGCCAACAGCAGCAGCCTGAGGTACATGGTCATCTTGAAGAAGGCTGTGCAGATATAATTTCTCTGTTAGATGGGAACCTTTTCCTGATTTCCCCTGGTCTCTGACTGAGCTAATGGAAGTTTTGGTATTGCCTAACTGCAAATATATAGTTAGAAACAGGGCACTGCAAATCTGTTGGGCCAACCAGTGTTGTGATCAATCCAGCCACCAACCGCTGGGTGTGTAATTTTTCAGGCCGCTGTTGAGGTCAGGAAGGCAGGGACTGCAAGACGTGATTTCCTAGTTGTGATCTCTGAATTGTAACAGTGTGCTCTATCTAGAATCAGGGTTTTTTCTCTCTTGCCACAAAACTTTGGTAATACTGGGCAATTATCATCATCAATGCAGTCAGAAAAGGCTTAGTCCCTCATTATGCATTCCTCAGCATCTCGCTCGGAGTTCAGTTCACATAAGCATTAATAATTCTTGGATTCAACTGTAACTGCTTTGAGAGTGCAAACTCAATATAAGTACTCTAAGAAAATGATCACTGGGAAGAACTCGCGAGGAAAAAGCTTTATTTGAAGACTAAATGAATGCTGTAAGCACACAGACAAATGTCAAGGACGTCAACTGCACACCAAACTGCTGCTCAGTCAGGGAGCTCTGTCCTATGCACTGATCCACATATGGTCATGAAACTAAAGCTTGAAACATAAAGGGTAGAGTCAAGCTGAAGAGCTCACTGTTGTGGTTCTTGTGACCTTAATTCCAGTCCTCCTGCAGTTTTGTGTGCTTGACTCTGACTCTGTAAATACATCTTATGTGTTTTATCTTGATTTCAGTGAAACATTTGACAGAGTCTCCCACAGCATCCTTGAAGCTAAACTGCGGAAGTGTGGTCTGGATGATTGGGTACTGAG